AGAACTCTTAAAAAACTACAAATGAACCTATCATTTGACCCAGTTATACCACTCCTTAGCATATACCCAAAGAACTCGTCCTATTGCAGAGACACTTGTACATCCATGTTTGCTGCTCTTTTCACAATAGCTAAGAGATGGAAGAAATTTACGTGTCCCTTGATTGATGAGTGGATAATGAAAATGTGGTTCATTTATACAACGGAGTTTTACTCAGCAGTAATCATGAAATCATGAAATTTGCAGGTAAATGGATGGAGCTAGAAACTGTTTTACTAAGTGAAGTAACACAGATTCAGAAAAGCAAACGATGTGTGTTCTCCCTCAAATGTGGATCCTAGCACAAAGTCCTTATAAGTGAGTATGTATCAAGAGATAAGTACAGGAACCAGGATAATGAAAAGGAACCAGGGAGGTAAAGGAAAAGAAAGAACCTGAAAGAGAAGAACAGTAGGAAACAGGTGTTACTATGGAAGAGATAAAGAAAAAATGGGGTTATTTTAATGGGAGGGTAGAGGTGGGACCATAGGAGAAGAGTATTATTAAGTGAGAAATGGCAAAAATGGGGGCACTTTAAATGGAAAAACCATGGTGGAAGGGTTAGACAATGAGAGAGATAAATAATACCTAGCTAGTTTTGAAATAACCAGAGTGAACCATATTAGTCCAACAACCTACTGACAAATTATACATACATCTAGCTCAAGGAACAAAATATATGTCTAGTCAAGGTTTACCTGAGAACTTTTGGTTTTTGCCCAAGCTTTACCTACATAGCACATGGTAATTAAAAGCACCAGACTGGTGGAACTAATCTTCTTGGATGTTTAACATACTTTGAGGCCTATACTAATCTGGTCAGAGGGACTTAAAGGACAGTTTTTGCTCCTTGCCCTCCAAGGTTGACTAAGTTCCAGGGGACTATGGAGTATCTCTCAGAATGTCCTGTAACTGGTGAGTCACCTGTCTTCTTGTCAAGGAGGCTGTGGAGACCCCACCAGATGGATTTGAACTGATGTCCACTCTACAAAGAGGAGGGTCAACACAGAGGAAACATTTCCTCCATGCTTCCAAGTGAAGCCAGCCAGAGTTGAGCAGGACCTTTTACTTATCTTCACATAGATGGACCTGGTAAAAGAAAGGTACCAGGGGCTCCTCCTAAGCCCATGTGACCCCTGAAGAATAGATTCACCAATGACCTTAACAGTAAAAATAAATTGGTGTATTTGGGCCAACTGTATGGTCTTAAAGACCCAAAAGGAAAATGTAACCAAATATTAAAGTGATCATATAATTCTTTAAGAGGCCATGTATATAGCTAAAGGCTACATAACAAGAAACAATACCAGACAGGATATACCTTCCTTTCAGTTGTTGGCCAGGGTGGCCCAAGAGACTCCCAGACAGTAACCCAGCATAGAACTTGGAAAATGAACAGCAGACCCCAATCTTATCTAAAGGAATGTTGGCAAATGATTGCTGCTATATAAGGAGCAGTCTATCTTCCTAAAACAAGGAACTCTAGATAGGCTGACTAGGCTCAGCAGATGGACTAGCACTGGGGAACAGCTGGACACACTGATAAAACAGTAGACAGTAGCAGGGATGATAGAGTATATGGGCTCCAGTTGGTGGGGGAGGCTATGAGAGGGAACATTTGGGATGCAGGTGTAAAGATTAATAAGATTGTTTGGGATGTTCTGTATGAAATATACACACAAAAAATCAATAAATAAAGATGAGTTATATTTGAGGAAGAAGCATAAAATTTTGCTTCACGTTAATTAGTAGATATGAAAAACATTACCATTGAAATCTACCTGATGACTTTATATCCATGCTCAGGTGCCAAGAATCTTAGAAAGTAACCGACTGTGACTAGTAATAATCAGATATATAGAGACTTGAGACACATGTGCAAACATCTGTTAGTTGCATTAAAATGAGTTTTTTTCTGTATAAAACAGTATATTTCAAAATGAAATGGGGATCTTTTTAAAGGTTAAAACCTCATTCAATTTTATGTCTTATAGGGTTTATATGGAGTGCAATAATGTATAACTATTAATTCAACACTGTGAACCTAAAAATTACAGCCAATTTTGAAAGAGATGCACATCTTTGTTCTGGAAACTATTATTGACTATGTCAATGCTGTTGTAATGAAATGCTTCTACTAAGTATGTGGTTATTAAGTAACTTTTTAAAAATAAAAAAAGAACTTTATGGAACAGTTACAAAACCTCACAGATTTTATTTAATTCATTATTTGGGGAACCAATAAGATGCTGTCATAATTTAAAAGGAGATTTGTAAGGAGTAAGCTACAACAAATGCTCAGATAATAAAACTAGCCTATTACCTAGAATGGAGGTGGAGGACAGGAGAGAGGAAAATCAACTATATTTCCATCAAACAAAATTCATTTTCTGTGTCTATGTAAGATAGTAATATTCTTACACTGATTTCTTTACAACTTACGGAGAAGTAAAATAACTCAAAGAAGGCAAAAGGCACAGAAATGATCCATGGAATCAAATAATCCCAACATTGTATTAAATACTGCCTGCTTTTGTACTGAGGACATCCAGGAATTCTGGTTGATTTCAAATAATCTTTTTCTCTTACATATTACTGTTACTTTTTTCTCTCTCTGATTTTCATACCCTTTGTAAAGATTACAAAGAAAAACTGAAATATCCATGTTTTTAATCTCATGCCAATATAGATTGTTGGTGGGGGAATATCTCAGAGCCCCCCTGAAGACAAAGAGCTACAGAAAATCAATAGGCCAGGCATGGTGGTGCATGCCTTTAATTCCAGTACTCTGGGAGGCAGAGGTAGGCAGATCTCCATGCCTGGTCTGCATAGCAAGTTCCAGGACAGCTGGGGTTACAGGGAGACCCTGTCTCAAAAGGTTAAATGAATAAAGGTGCTTTCAGAAAACCAAGGGGTGCTGAAGGAAGGAGAATCAGTTTTCTCCAGGACTAGCTCCCTGAAAGGTTATCTCATCCCAAATGGACAGCTCTAAACACAGGTGCACATAATTACCACTAAATGGACTCGGTGCATTATATAATATATATGTGTATATATATATGTGTGTATGTGCATTTATATATGTATGTATGTGTATATAATAATGATAAAGAAGAAGACAAAAAGTTGAGAGGGAGTGGGGAGACCTGGGCGAATAGGTGAGGGACTAGAAGGGATAGAAATAATGCAAAGACAATGCTCATATGAAATTCTCAAAAACAAACAAAAAAGTTTTTAAAGAATTGATGCCGAATTCACAATATTGATAATATATTAACTTTACAAATGTGTGTGTGAGAAGGAAATAAGTTGAGCTCAGAATCATTTTGCTAATTGGCAGTTTTCCTAAGACCATCATTACAATGCTAAATTTATAGAAAATTTTCTATAAATGCAGAGCTTAATGTAATATATTTAACTCCTGTTTCAGTTTTGATCTTAGCCAAATTTTAAACATTAGTGAAATGTTAGTTTGATAGGCCAATTTCATTTTAACCCCTGTGTCTTTGACATATTACTAGGTGAAATAAAAAATATAGAATACCTCTAGTGATTTTAAGTACTTCAATGTCTAAATTTATCATAAAAGATGATTCATTAAGTGGGTGTAGTGCCACATGCTTTTAATTCCAGCACTCAGGAGGCAGAGACAGGTGGATCTTTGTGAGTTCAAAGCCAGCCTGGTCTACATAGTGAGTTCCAGGTCAGCTGGAGCTACAGGGTGAACCTGTCTCAAAAATTCCAATAATAATAATAATAATAATAATAATAATAATAATGATGATGATGTAATTCATTATGTTACAGTATTTCACACGAACTGCACAGGCTCTACTACGAATGATAGGTGTGGGTGGAATGTAAACATACAAAAGAGTGTGGTTATGTGTAAAGTAAATCTCTGGTTATTTCCTAAAAAATTTTAATAAAATATTACATGTTTCAGGGCTGGAGAGTTGGCTCAACAATTAAGAGCACTTGCTCTTCTTGCAAAGGACCCAAATTCAGTTCTCGGCACCCACATCAGGCAGTTTACAACAGCCCTGCCGTCACTCCAGCTCCAGGGAACCCAACATCTGCATACAAGTGGCATACACATGGGCACACACACACATAGACATAAGTAAAAATAAATCTTGAAATAAATGATATTTAAAATAAATGTAATCATATCTAGAATCATAACATGTTCATCATAGAATACGTGAACATACGTTACTTTTACTTGCCTCATTAATTAATGAATTAAACCAGTAAGATGTTACAATCAGTTCAAAGGAGAATTCAAAGCACCATGCATATTTAGAAGATAAGTAATGCTAAAATGAATTTGTGGACAGATATGAATCGGTTCCATAACCAATTGTATCTTATAAGCACAATAATTTGCATTTGTATGGACAAAATCACTTTGCCTTACTGTCAGTTTTCTGTAATTGACAGAATTATGAAATAGCTCAGACAGTGAAAAGCCCCCTGGCCTGAATGCAGTCCCCAACCAGGGTCTCTTGGTGATCTTTCTCTCCCATTCAAAGCCTTTCACAATTACTCTTCACTCGTTAATACATTCACTTTCCTAACTCTTTGAAGTGTTAGGAAACACTTTTTGTTATATCCAGTAAAGCCAGTAAATTTTGCATTTGAGCACTGAATTCAATTGCATTTTGAATTCCAGTGGTAAAGACTTTAGATATATATGTTTGAATAATTAAATTTAAGGCGCGTCTTCAAGTGCGTTGTCAGCATTTATTACAGAAACTCTTTAGAGGAAATGATACTTTCATTGATGTGTTGTTGTCATGGTAAATGAATTCCTTTCATTAAAGAAAAGTGGATAATTTATTTTCCATAGTAATATATCTGCACATAAATCGTGCTTTCCTCTGAGTTATTCAGTAATCTGAATAAGTGGATACACAGTTCATAATTCATAGTTGTCTGTAACTGGCTTTATCCTCTAGGTGCTGGCCTGAACGATGGGCTGTGGCATTCAGTGTCCTTATCTGCTAGGTGGAGCCACCTCAGCCTGGCAGTGGATGGTGACTCCTCTGCTCAGCCTCTGGGGCCTGTGTCCATGCATTCTGGCAACATCTATTATTTTGGAGGTGAGTGGAAGCAATTTCACTACACTGACAGGCAGTGGGACTGTTTGACTTATTTATTTATTTATTTATTTATTTATTTATTTATTTATTTATTTATTTATTTTTACACCCACTTCCCAGATAGCACCCTCCCATAATCTCCCTCGCCCCCTAGAGCCCTTATACTCTGATATCCCTGCTACTGTCTGCTGTGTTGTCGGCACCCCCAGCCATTCCCCACTACTTGCCCTTCTGGTGAATCTAGTCAGCCTATCTAGAGGTCTCTTTTAGGAGTGTCAGCTGTTCCTCATCTAGCCATAATCAGTTGTCAATATTCCTTTGGATAAGATTGGGGTCTGCTGTTCATTTTCCAAGTTCTATGCTGGGTTACTATCTGGGAATCCCTTTGGCCAGCCTGGCCAACAACTCAAAAGAAGGTATCACCTGTCTGGCATTGTTGCTTGTTTTGACTTTTAATGTCTTGCGTCCTGTGTCTCTTACCATATTTAAATCAAGTTAATATTAAGAAATAATTTCTTTCTATCACATAAATATATTTGAGTTTTTTAAGAACATAAAAGATTGTTCTTAACAATATAAAAAGAAATACATGCAGAATACTTACTTTGCTGTTTCAATACTTAATTACACATAACCTTAAAGGAAAATACATTCTAGCTACACATAGTAAACTGAAGATAAAGTCAGATGTTATAATACGATCTCAGCTACATTTTATATCTCTAAAAGTTAGCTGGTAAAACAAATCATACTGTCCAAAGCCATTGAGTTTTATTAAATCTTATTAAAGAAATTGCGTTTTGATCCATGCAAGTATCTGCATGGTTGCTTAACTAGAGTCTTACACATGTAGATTAGTTACTTTTCCATTGCTGTGATAAAACATCATGACTAGAAGCAACTTGTAGAGGAATTTATTTTGGTTTATGCATAAAAAGCAGAGTCCATAATGGTGGGAAATACTTGACAGTAGGTACTAGAGCTGGCAGATGGATAATCACATCTCAACTGCACATAGGAAACAGAGAGCATGAACTAAAAGTGGGGTGAGACTGTAAACTCTCAAAATCTGCTCCCAGTGATGTGCTTTCTCCAGTAAGGTTGCATCTTCTAAAGGCTTCATAACCTTCCCTAAACACTTCCACCGACCAAGTGTTTAATATATGAATTTATGGAGCACATGTCTCATTCAAACCACCACAACATGAATGGTATTATCCAAAATGGTATAGTTGAATCATATGTAGTTCCATTTTTAATTGTTTTAGAAACCTCTACAGTGACTTCTATTGGTCATATCAATATCTAGACACACCAGCAACAGGTAAGCATTCCTATTGGCCCTCATAGTCAACAGCATTTGTCATCCTTTATTTTCTTGATGACAGTCATTTTGATTGAACTCATGAGGAATCTCAAAGCAGTTTTAATTTGCATTTCCCTGATGCCTGAGAATGTTGAGTAATTGTTAAAGTATTTATTATTTGTTAAAATATTTTATTATTTTTATTTTATGTATATGAGTGTATTGCCTGCATGTATGTGAACCAATGTCATGCAGTGCACACAGAGGTCAGAAGAGGACGTCGGACCCCCTGGAACTGGAGTTATGGATGATTATTAGCTGTCGTGTGGGTGCTGGGGATTGAACTGGGTCCTCTGCAAGAGCAGCCAGTGTTCTCAACCACTGAGCCATCTCTTCAGCCTCCTTATTGGTCATTTGTACTTCCTCCTTTTCCTGTTTGCTTTCTCAGCAAATTTGTTACTGGTATGCATGCAAGAGCTATTGATTTTCATATGTTGATTTTCGTGTCCCATTACTTTGTTGAAAGTGTTTATCATGTCTACAGATTTTCTGGTGGAGTCTTCAGGGTTGTCCTCCTTTTCTATTTCTTCTACCTAAGACACCAAGCACTGTATTAACTAAGAGTAGGCAAAGTGGGCAGATTTTAGAGAAAACGATTTCATTTTTTGAAGTTTATCAAGTCTTCAGAACTTTGATTTAAATAATGCCTTTTTATGTTATTCTACAGTTGTCTTTAAATAGAAAGCCATTTTGTTATGCTTTTTTCCCTCTTTCCTTAAATTTAGTAGGCATTTTTTATCATTTTCCTCACTCATTTGGTAGTACATGTATTGAAGAGTTATCACTCGGGTTATACATTGTAGCTCAGTAGAAGGTGGCAGCAAGTCCATGCAACTAGATTTCTGTATGTTTGGATTAATGGGAGGTAATAGTGCTTAGTTTAACCTAGCAGTGCCCTCCCTAGTGTGTGTGTGTGTGTGTGTTTTTTTTTTTTTTTTTTTTGTGTGTGTGTGTGTGTGTGTGTGTGTGTGTTTTACTGGGGGTTGAACCTAGAATCTTGCACTGGTTAGACTAGGAAAGTGCTCTACCCCTGAGTTATAGCCCCAGACATCTTTTTACTTTTATTTTGAAGCAGTCCAGTCTCACTAAATTGCCCATATTGGCCTTGAACTTCCCCCAAATTAAGGAAAGACATACATATACAGATACAATTTTTCTGTGACACAAATAGGCTTAAAGAATTCATGTCCACCAAACCAGCCCTACAGAGAATACTCAAAGCAATACAAAGGACTGAAGATAGGAATTACTATACCCAAAAGATTACGGAAAGAAAACAAATGAAGGCATAATTATGGAAACACAAAATAGGACCAAGAACACAAACTGAAATTAAAATGATAGTAACCAATACACATCTTTCAATAGTAACTTTTGAAATCAATGGCCTCAACTCCTCAGTCAAAAGATGTGGACTAGTAGAATGGATTAAGAAGCAAAATCCATCTTTTTGTTGCCTGCTAGAAACTCATCTCAAGAACAGGCACTACATTCAGGTGAAAAGGATGGAAAAATATTCCAAGCAAATGGTATCAAGAAGCAAGCAGATGTTGCAATTGTAATGTCTGAAAAAATGGGGTTTAAATTAAAATTAATCAGAAGAAAAAAAGAGGTCACTTCATTCTGATCAAAGGAATAACTGATCAAGAAAATATTACAATCATGAACACATTTGCACCAAACTCCAGTGCAGCCAATTTCATAGAAAAAGTACTACAGGACTTTAAACTACAGATTAATCCCAAATCAATAATAGTAGGTGACTTCAATACCCTACTAGCTCCAATAGACAGGTCTATTGGACAAAGAATAAACAAAGAAGGCATTTGAATTAAATGACACCATACATCAAATGAACCTAACATATATTCACCCAGAATGAATATATAACAGAATAGTCCACCCAACCACGAAAGATTACACTTTGTATTCATGGAAGTTTCTCTAAAATTGACCACATACTGGGGCACAAAACAAACCTCAAGAAATATTTTTTTTAAATTGAAATAATTCAGTGCATTCTATGAGACCACAATGCAATAAATGCTGTTGCTTAAAATCAACAGCAAAAGAAGCTGTAATAACTACACAAACTCATAGAGATTAAACAGCACACTTGTGAATGATGACTGGGTCCAAGAAGAAAACAAAAAAATAAATAAATAAAAGTATTCCTGGAACAAAGTGAAAGTTATAATATAGCATAACAAAACTTCTACTACACTTTAAAAGCAGTCCCAAGAGGGAAGTTTATAGCTGTAATTGCTATAGAAATTTTAAATCTTAATTTTATTCCAGTTTTTAAAATTCTGAATTTCAGTATTATCTTATATTTGATTGGGTCTGAATTGTGTGTTTATCTCTTTTTCTGAGACATGTCTGATGACCACATCAAAGTTCATTCCTCAATGGTGCCAGGAGGGGAAGCCTCAACTATAATGGAGGGTGGAACAGTTTTGTCATGATCATTGATTTTCTCCTGTCTTTGCCTCCATACTCAGGCTGTCCAAAGAACATCTCTAACTCTGGTTGTGAAAGTCCTCTGGGTGGGTTCCAGGGCTGCCTGAGGCTCATCTCTATTGGTGACAAAACAGTGGATCCCATTGCAGTAGAGCAGGGGACTTTGGGGAGTTTCAACAACCTTCAGATAGACTCCTGTGGCATCACCGACAGGTAAGGGCCTTACTGGGTCATTTTAGCATGCCTGTTTCCAAAGTTTGAAGCAGGAAGAAATAGTACTAAGGGGGGGGGTGGATTTTTTTTCCTCTCTTTCTCTTCTATTTTTTGGGGACTATAATAGTAAATTTACAGTAAGGATTAGAAAAATGTCTTTGTATTCTTAATTATGTAAGCCACACTTTTTTCAGATGATAGTATTTTCTGAGAAGACATATCCCTTTGGCCAGAGAGATGGCTCAGCAGTTACAAGCACACTGCTCTTGCAGAGGACCCAGGTTCCATTTCCAACACTCATGGCAGGTAGCTCACAACCAGATCTAACTCCAGCTCCAAAGGATCTGACACATAAATGGCCTCCATTGGCACTCACACAGAGAACGTATACACTCACTCAGATACATACACATAAATACAAATAAATCTTTAAAAATACATGTATATTCCTTTTGAACTTTAACTTAAAATAGTCCCAGACTCTAGTTATAAAACCAATCTTTGCACTGGGCCTGGCATTTGGATGTTGCTGTGCGGAGGAGGAACTGGCCAGGCTACAATCCTTCCATTTTCAATGAGAGAAAAGTACTGCCTTTCTGCAGAGCAGATGTAAGCAATCTCTTTCTAGGGAAGTTTGAACCACAGAACTAGATGAAGATGTGTGCATAACAGACTCTGAAAGATGGAGAAGACAGGGGGGAAATTTTTTAATGAAAAAAATTTAGGGCTGGAGAGCTGGCTCAGTACTCTCAGTTCAGATCCCTAAAGCCCATATAAAGGTGAAAACCATAGCCTGGCCTGGTCTGCAAGCCAATACTCCCAAGGTGAGCTGTGAGGCCAAGACAGGAGAATCAAAGCCACTGCATGCAGCAGTAAACAGGAGGCTATGTCTCAAATAAGGCAGACCAACACCCAAGGTTGTCCTCTCACATGCACAATGACACACAGATTAACAAAAGAACTGAATGTTTTTACTTTCAGTTGTATTGTAGCTGTATTGTATTTATCGTATTGTATTGTAATAATGTTGGCTGAAAGCAATCAATATGATATGACTTAGTGCCTTCCCCTTGATGTTTGTAAATACTTAGCATCATACAGTATATACACAAATGGAAATATCATAGTGAACCTCTGAAATCTGTATAATTATTATATATGTCAACTTAAAGCAAAAATTAATTAATAAGAGTTTTAAAAATGAAAAAGTTATATCTACATATGTAAGACATTTTAATATTTATTATCTTCTGCTTCATAGAGAAGAGTCTGCTAATCATACTACTTTAAACATTGACTATACAATTGCCAGCTAAGCAGGTTTTAGTTCGTAATTATGTCTAGTGATGTATTAAAAGAACATAATTCCTACCAAATGAAAAATTCACTCATAAGAACTTGATTTAGCACAGAATAATTTTCCCTGTGAACATTCAGTTGATTTGTAGGAGAAATTAATTGATTCAAAGATGATGGTGTATCATGTAAGAAGTTGTTCCAATTACTCTCACTGTGGGGTTAGAATTCTTGGAACAGGCTCAAGAACTGACTGAGGACCCCAAGTCTCTGGTCACAGGGAGGTTTTCTGGAAAGACTTCTGGCTACCTGCTTATCAATGTGCCTGCTTGCCAGGCAAGACATAGCCCCCACTCAGCCATCAGTGGAGCTCTCAGGAGGTATCTGACAGGCTTGTATGTGAGTGCTGAGAGCCATTAGCTCAAATGTGATGTGTGTGATTTTCTTCACTCATAAGTTTATTGTTTTGATAGCTTGATGACTCATAGGCCTGATATGTTCACATCTCTCTTATGAAGTGATGTGGTTAAGAGAAATGCCCCTCCCAAATGTGCATGTGTCAGCCTGTGACACCATTCAGAGGTAGTGAACCCTGAATGGTAGTTTGGCCACTGGAGTGTGGGGAGGATATTGGCTCCCTAGCCCCTTCTGCTCTTTGTTTCCTGGCTAGTTACTGGAGGCAAATAGCTTTCTGAACAACATGCTTTCACCTACTATGTGCCTTGCCTCAGTCCAAGAGAGAGGTGCCAAGTTACCACAGACTGAAACCTCCACAACTGTGAGTCAAAGTCAATCTTCCTCTTTAAAGTTCATTATCTCAGGCATTCTGCTACATTAATGGGAAGCCTGACTAACATATGAGGGTATATCTGAAACCTGCCCTCCTACTAACATTGCCAATATCCACATGCTGTGCTCAGCATGACCTCCAAAAAGAAAAAGCTGGGGCTGGAGAGATTGATCAGCAGTTAAGGGTTAAGAGCACTGGCTGTTCATGCAGAAGACCTGGGTTCAAATCCCAGCACCCACATGGCACCTAACAACTATCCCTAACTCCAGTTCCAGGAGATCCAATGCCTTCTTCTGTCCTTCGCAGGTACTGTACAACACACTTAACCCTAAAGGCTGTCTATCTAATAGATCTTTAAGTTTCTGCGTGTTTTAAAGGCCTTTGAAATCCCCCAGTTACTCTCAAACCTGCTTACGAGAGCTACAGAAAAACATAAGCCAGACTATGTACAGTAACAGTCTCAAAGAAGGGTTTTATTTGTGTGTATATACATGCATGTGGACATGTTTGTGTGTTTATATGCGGGTGCAATGTATGTGGAGGGCAGAAGTTGACTTGCCTGTCTTCCTTGATGATTTTCCAATTTGTTTTCTGAGACAGGGTCTCTCATTCAATCTGCCTATCTGTCTCCCCAGGGCTGGGATTACCAATGTGTGTTCCCCTGTCTGGCTTTTATGTGCGTGAGGGAGGCAAACTCCAGTGTTCATACTTCTGCAGCGAGCACTTTACCAACAGAGCCAAATGCTAGCCTTGAGACAAAGATTTTGAAAAAGCACATTTTTTTTTTTCAAATAGGACTACAAATGGGAGTTACTCCTGATTCATCCTTAGATCAATATTATAGAAGTTCAGCCCTCCACCACAACTGTTTTCGAAACCACTAACTTTCATAGAGCAATAAAATCAGGACACTTTGATGCAAAAAAACTGAGGTTGTCCAGAGTTAAGTGCCTTTGCTTCTCCCTTTACATCATTTGAAAATCCTAAATACACTGAAATTTTACCTTTGGAAAATCCCGATTTATTTACTTACTTACCTACATATTTGGAGACAGAGCCTCATAGTGTAGTCCAAGCTAGCATGGAGTTCACTATGTAGCACAGGCTGGCCTTCAGCTCACAGCAATTCTTTCACCTCAGTCTCCTGAGTGCTGGAATTTATAGGCATGAGCAACCATGCTTGGCTCAGACTCTTATTAAGGTGAAAGGCAGCTTCTTTGATCATATGACTACACTGTCTGCACTTCATTGGCAGCTGGAGCTCCCCTAGCAGGAGGCACCTCACCTCCTCACCTGCTTGGTGCTGAGCGAGCTGTTCCTTGAACTCTTCCCATATCACCATCTGCTCTTCCCCTATGCACTGGTCTTTATGCTAGGTACCAGCTCTATTTGTACTGCATGTAAGTTATTCATAAATGATATTGTGTTCAGATGGAAAAATTATAATCCCAATTGCTCAAATGGCTCTTACCCACAGATATTTTAAAATAAAACCACATTCTCCTTGTTGGTATCACACTTTTACTACAGTTATATATATATATATATATATATATATATATATATATATATATGTCCTAGAATTTCATACAATGTATTTGAATCACATTCAGACCCCCTCTACACTCCCACTTTACTACATCCCCTTCCAACTTCATGTCCTCTATTATTATTTGTCCCTTTTTTAGGCCTAGCCAGTCTAACCTGTGTTCCCCAGATGCTCCTGGGTATAGGTCTATCCCTGGAAGTCTGGTCAACCTACCAGGCTTCAGAAAACTACCAAAAAACTGACTCTCCCTACCAAAAAACTGTCTGCCCCTTTCCCAGCAATTATCAGTTGCCGAAAGATCATCAGCTAGAGCTAGGGCTCCTTGCCCACCTCCCCCACTCTTGCTGGGCTTTTGTCCAGCTTGAGCCTGCACAGGTCTTGTGCATGCTGTCACAAGCTCTATAGGTTCATAGGTACAACCAAGTACAGTGATCTTGAATCTTTCTAATGTTTGTAGAATTCTCAAATTAGAATTATCTTTCAAAGTTCCCATCATATTGAGGAGTAGAGGGAGGAGGAGGAGAAGAGGAGGAGGAAAGGGGAAGAGTTGCCATTATTAAAAGTTGCATGAATGAACTCCCCCCACCCAGCTTCTCTTTTGTGCTTAGTTGTCAAAGGTTGTGTGGGGAGGGCCTTCTCCCAGCCTCCCACCCATCATCAGATGTCGAAGGCAGTGTAGGGTAGAACTTCCCACAGCCTCCCATCTGCCCTCAGTTGTCAAAGGTGGTATGGGGGTGGACCTCCCTCCAGCCTCTCACCTTTCCTCAACTGTCACTCTCCTTCCTACATATTGCTAAGGCCCCCTTAGGGTCCATCCACGTGTACTTTACTTACCATATCTTCGTCCTTGAAATACTTAAAAAGTTGTGTAGCCAATAACCATTCCTCTCTCAAAGAGAATAAACTCTCGCTGACTTCATGTAATTAGTAAAAATTTAGCCTTAAGCATGTAGTACGTTTCTGGGATGCTGCAATGCTAGGTTATTGAAGACTACCATGGTTCTTTCCCCAGATCCTCAGGTCCTCCTCAAAGGAGGAAGCAAACAGGTCTTTGGGGACTCCTGTCAGCCTCTGTGTTTCAGCTCTCTACCTGGCCTTGGTCCTCTAACCACAACCAAGAGGTCTCGACTCCTCTGTCCCCTCTCTGCATCCCAACAAAGACAAATCTGTGCTGTCACCTCTTGGCCTTTTTATCATGGACCACTTTTTCCTTCAACCTTTGGAGCAATGTTCCAGGCCTACAGTTTGGAAAATCAGTGGCCACTGTGCCCTGTATTCTCTCCTCTCTTCTTAGCCACACTCATACCTGTAGAAGAAGGTGGGTAGAAGTAGAGATCCCAGGTCCCTGCATGTGAGATAGGGTAGTGGTATTTAGTCAGGTCTCTGCAAGTCTCCACTGGTGTGTGTGTGCGTGTGTGTGCATGTAGAAGCCAGAGATTGGCATTACATGTCTTCCTTGATCATTTGCCACCCTATTTGGGGTCAGGGTCTCTTGCTCAACCTGGAACTCACCAATTTGGCTAGGTTAGCTGGCCAGTGAACCCTGGGGATCCTCCTGTCTCTGCCTCCCCAGTTCCGGGGCCATCTTTTACATAGTTTCTGGGACCTAAACTCATGTACTCAAACTTATGTTGCAAAGACTCTGTCAACTGAGCCATCTCCCCAACCCTTCACTTTGTAATGAAGCCTCCACTCTCAATGATGAAGTATCTGTCACTTATGTTGCGCCACCTCCCCTGAGCTGTCCTAAGGATCCTAGGAGGCAGGTGAGCTACAACAGCTACTGTGACATTACTCAGGAAGCAGGAGGCACCTCTCACTTTGTTCCTTTTTCATTATTTTAGCTGTTCAGAGTCCCTTATGATTCTTCTCAATTTTAGAATGGATCTTTCCACATTTGCAAAAACAAAAGTCATTGAGATTTTGATAGAGATTACATTGAATGTATTGATAGGTTTGGGTAGTACTGACATCTTGCCAACGTTAAGTCTTCTAAAAACTGCTTATTCTAAAGCTGAAAGGCAACATCATGTTGACCTAAATGGAAAGTTATTCAGTCAACCTCAGATTATGTTGCTATATAATGGGAAATGCTCCTCCTAGTCTTTCCTTCCCTCTTCTCCTCTGCCTCTCCTCCTTTCCTCAAAAATATCAACAATGTAGTAATTGAGCTTTGACAAATTTTATAATTTTGTGTATGTAATCATTTTTTGAGCCACATAGTTAGTATTTTGATATTTGAGACATGAAAAAAAAGGTGCTTCGAAAATGCAGCTATCACATGCAAGTAAATACATTATAACTTGGGAGGCAGAGGCAAGCAGATCTCTGTGAGTTCAAGGCAAGCCTGGTCTACATAGTGAGTTCCAGGACAGCTGAGGCTACAAGGAGACCCTGCCTCAAAAAGACCAAAATAAATTATCATTATTATTAGAAACCTTGATGGCAGACTCTGTAGTTAATAGCCATTCATATTGAATTTTCTGCATATGCTGCAATGTCAAATTAATCAATTTTTGTGACACATTTTTGGAGTGATTGACAAAGGGGAATAGAAATTGTGTTTCTTTTCTTATAGGTGCCTGCCCAGCTTCTGTGAGCATGGAGCTGGATGTTCTCAGTCATGGGACACCTTCTCCTGTGACTGTGAGGGCACAGGCTACACTGGAGCAACCTGCCACTCCTGTAAGCTTCACGCCTCATGGCCTCATGTCCGTGTGACTTCCTGTTCCTTTCTTGCTCATTAGTTATATAAATATCTGCATGTTTGAATCATGCAGACATATTAGAATAAGTACTCTAGTATCTAATTCCCGATTTATTTTAAGCCACTAAATTATTTATTTTAGTGCTGGGTATTGAACCAAATGCTGTACCACTTAGCTATGGCCCCAGTACCCAACTTCATTTAATACAAGGGCAGTGAGAGAGAGAGCACAGAAATTTGTACTACTAAGGAGGGTGAAAAAAAAAGCCTTGTGAGCAATAGCAAAATCTATATAGTAGAATAAGATACAGAACAGGGTGGGCTGGGACGATGACTTGGGTGGTAAGGTGCTTGCTCTGCAAGCATGCAGTCTTGGTTTCCCTAGCACCCATATAAAAATCTAGGCATGGTGATCTGTGCCTGTAATCCCAGTACTGGAGAGACGGAGACAGAGAATCACTGGGGCTACTGACCGGTCAGTTTAGCCAAATTAGTAAGCTCCAGGTTGAGTGAGAGACCTCGACTCAAAAACAAAGTGGAAAGCTGTAAGAAGGATACCTGATGCCAACCTCTGGCTTCTACATATACGCATACATTGTGCACATGCACGCATACATATGTAATTATCCAAACTCACATTCCACACACAGATACACACAAAATAGAAAATTTAAAACTATATAGAGTATGTTAAATTGAGTGGGAAGTAGCGGGTGGTGCAGATGGGGGAGGGGATCTAAATGCAATCAAAACGTATTGTATAAAATTCACAAAAATTCAATAAAAACTATGTGGTACAGAGTAGAAATTAAATCAAGAATGTGGGCTAGAGAGTTGGCTCAGTAGTTAAAAGCATTGGCTGCTCTTGCAGAGGACCTCGGTTCAGTTCCCAGCACCCACATGGAAACTAACAACTGTCTGAAACTCCAGTCCCAGGGAGTCCCAGCACCTTCTTCTGACTTCTATGGGCTTTGCATGCACTTACATACATGCAGGCAATACACTCATGCACATAATAATATATAAAAAATTTTAAAATAATGTATAGTGTACTCTCTTGTTCCTTTACTTGAATTTTAATTCCTAGAATCCTTTCAGTCAAAGAAAAGTGGAAAAATAATCACTTTCCAGGCCCTCAAGTTTGAATGTAATAAAATTAAGGATTAAAAAAGCGGCACTGGATAGGAATGCTGCCTGGCAAAGTTTTAGAAGAGGCAATTAAGGTCTCTTACAACTGTGATTTTCTTTGGTGGAGATGATGATGAGTAATTACAAAAGTATGCACTTAACTGAGTTCTTAAACATGCCTGTCCTTTTCTAGTGATTTGCATGAATTAACTCATTAAATCCTAAAGGAGATTCAGAAATAAAGGACCATTATTACTTTCCTTGTATGAGGAGAGTAAAGAGGTTAAATAGCTCAACTCTCATCTAGTTGATGGCACAGTAAAGATGTGAGCTGAGGAAGTTGATTCCAGAACCTTTGTTTGGACAGCAGCACTGGGGACACCTGAGAACATATAACAAATATGAGCTTTCAGGTCTCACCCAAACCGATTGAACTGGAATCTCAGAATGGGTCTGTGCTGGGAGTATGCTATGCCAGAAACACAGATGGACATGTTTGTGTCTATCCACCATGTCAGAACTTTTTGAATATTAGTAAATTTACAACAGTAAATTCCTGAACTGCAATTTGCCAAGCAGTCCTAATTTCCCTTGATAGCTGGCTGTTGGCTAGCAGATATCTTAATTCCAATCTTAATTTATACATCACACAGTAAATATGTCTAGGTATAGTATAGGTTAAAGAATGTTTACAAAAGGGTTAAAAGGGCATAGCACAATTCAGCGAGTTCAAGGAGGCCTTACTAGAGGCAGAGGCAGATATGGGTAGAGATGTGAAGAGAATCACTGCAGGTGGTTAGACAAGATATTAATGAACCCAGTTAGAGAGCTTCCGGAAGCCTTGCAAAGCCAAGCCACTGGGTCACAGCATTAATTTAAGTCTCAGGGTTAAGCCTAGCTGAGAGGAGAGGTACAGGATCTCAGGAGAGTGGAGGTAAGATGTAGGACCAGGGCCAGACGGAAAAGCAAATGGATTAATAGATGGACAGATGATAATTCAAGTAAGCTTGTATCAGTAGAGGGAACCAAACTAAAACAAACCTCCAAGACAGTCAGGAGTTCTCTGCCTGTGGATCTCTTGATGTGTACACCAGGTGGTCAGATGACAAGTCTGTGGTGGCCCATCACCATCTCACTGCTAGGTATCTTCCTCTTTATGGGGTTCAGGTAACCATGTTACATCCTCCCTTAGCCTAGTGTGTTTAAGTTTACAGGCTTGCTTTTTCTGATATGGTTTTAATTTAAACACCCATGTACGCATATATTCCCAGTCTACTTTGATGAGTTTTTATGGTAGTACCTTTTTATTTTTAGAAACAAATTGTTTATCAGCTGTACCTTGTGGTGCTGGACAGATAGTGTTATTTACCTGTATAACAGGTGCAGAGTTATTCTGCCTATGTGTTTGCATTCAAGGATGAAGCCTAAAACTGCTTATGAAACGGAGCCTCCTTAGGCAAGGCACGTCCTGAAAAACCAGTTTTCACAGTACAGAGTAGCTTAGAGCAGGGTGTAGCCTTATCTCAACAGTCTGTTTTAAACAAAATCCTGTATGCTTCTGATAGACAGCCTGAGAACCATGTCTAGGAGATGACTTTCTATACTGTCTCTCCTCTCTTAATCATCCATCTTGGGTTGGCCAGATGCCTCAATTGGGTAAAGGGTGACAACCTGAGTTTGATCCCTGGGACTCAAATGGCGGAAAGCAAGAACCAATTCCTGTAAATCATTCTGTAACCTCCATACACATCATGATAATGCCCCTCCACACATAAAATAAATGAGTGTAATAAAAAAAATCTTTTAAAATGACAGTTATTTATCTTTACTGACAAATCATTCTACATATTTTAAAGCCCGGGTTATTTTATTGATCACCAGTTTGTCAATAATTAGAACATGGCAGAATCCTGAAATCTCATTTTTTCCCTTTTATATTTTTAACTTTTAAAGATTATTTTCTTTTTGTTACTGATGCAAAACAAAACTGTCATCTCAAAGGGATAAGAGATAGTTTATTCTTGAGCCAAATACAGATGACCATGGTCCAAGGGGCACAGATCCAGGTTGCCCCAAATAACATGTTCCAATGTGGAAACATTTCATGATGAAGGAAGGTCATAAATCAAGGTGTTTTGGAATGTATTGGTGGAAACGACAGGTCAGCGGGTTAGAGCAAAGGGAGGAAATCTCTGCTATAGCTCTCACATGCTCTCTGATAACACTTGGAGCTTTGGGGATGGTGGATAGGTCATAAATCAAGGTGTTTTGGAATGTATTGGTGGAAACGACAGGTCAGCAGGTTAGAGCAAAGGGAGGAAATCTCTGCTATAGCTCTTGCATGCTCTCTGATAACACTTGGAGCTTTGGGGATGGTGGAAGCTAGTGGTCTGCTAAGTTGCTGCATTCCAATTTTGCCCAATAGTCACCAGGTAGGAAATAAATGGTTATTAGGAGATTAAAGGTAGCTAGAGATTAACTTGGGTCTGACTCTGCAGCTGCAACATTCCAACTCTCTACAATCAGTCAGTCAGCCTAGAGAATCTTTAACATCCGTATAGCTTTGTTCTGGGAATTTCAAATCACATTGTGTATTTACATTGATATTTCTGAACACTTCTCCTTATGAACAATTTGCTCACTCCAAGTCATCAAGGAAATGATGTCATCAAGTCCTCAGTTCCACCAGTTATTTACTCACATCAAGCTCCTACTAAAACCTTTTCACAATCCCATGTGACTTTTTTCAAGACCTATAGGAGGAATTCAGAGTATAGATACTTTAGCTCCACTTCACATATGCAAATGAAGTTATGGAGAATCTTGGGCTCCCAGCAGTGGAGTTCTTTGGAAGTCTTGGGAGGAGACAGAACCCCAGCAGCTCTGCTGAAGTCACACATCAAGCAGGCATTAGGACTGTAACGGTGGTTTCTATTCCTACAGTCATTTCACTTTCTGTAGGGGTTCCTTGACCAGAGTGTGAGTGACGGTACAATTGTCCCAGAACTGCCACGAGGACGGGATCTTTTACTTCCACACATCTCCCATTCGCCAAGCGTAATCTTGGACATCAAGCAAATGCCCAGCCCAATGTCTTCCTTAATTCCTTTGTGTCATATCTACCTTCTTCTCTTACATGTGGTAGATCATGAACTAGTCTTACTAATGCATGACTACGAGCTGGTCAAAATGTAACTGCAAAAATATCAGAAGAGGACCTGGTGTGATGGCACACACCTTCAATTCCAGTACTCAGGAGGCAGAAGCAAGTGGATCTCTGTGAGACTGAGCCCAGCCTGGTCTATATAGTGAGCTCCAGGACAGATGGGACTACAGGGAGACCCTGTCTTAAAAAGACTACATAATATATGTATATGTATACATATATATTTCAGAAAATTGAAAAGAGAAATACTTAAATTTCAACATGATCTAATCATGTGGTTGATAAGTGTTTTAGAATTTGTGGCTTTCAAACATACACATCATGTGAAGGAGGGACTTCAGCAAACTCTTGGTCACTGACTATGAGACCAGACTGTTATACTTAGTTGTAAGAGGTCGTGTTTGTTTTGGATAGTCATACAATTCATATATGCGTACATTGCTATTTAAAACATAAAAAGACTCATAGAAACAAACGTTCTAGTCATTCTTTTTGGTATTTATTCACTCTCTAAGTCTGCAGTTCAAATCTAACCATTGTTATAAATCCTACCAGACATTTATGTATATTTACTCAAATAAGTTCATATAAGTAGAAAAAACTCAAGAAGGACAGAAAAGCAAGCCATCTGACTTATATCCCCATCTATAGGATTTGTTGAAGGAACACTATTGACCCAGACAATTTACTGTGGAGCCATTTTAGTATGACAATTAGCCATGTTTACCTTATGGTTCAGATTTAAGATTTCTTCTTGCAAACAAAAAAGTTTTCTTGGCTGGGGACAAAGCTCAGTTGGTTCAGTGTTTGCCTTACAAACATAAACATCCGAGTTTAATTTCTAGAACCCAATGGAAAAGGTGGGTATGGTGACCTGTGCTTGTAATTCCAGCACCGGGGAGGCAGAAACAGGTAGATTCCTGAGGCTTACCAACCAAACAGTCTAGCCTACTTGGCGAGCTCCAGGTCAATGAGAGACCACGTCTTGAAAGAGGTGGACATGGGTAGTACCTGAGGAAACACATCTGAAATTGTCCTCTGCCTTTAGCATTCATGCACACGTGTGCATGTAAGTTTTTAAAAAAATAAACAGTTGTCTAAATATCCTATTTTATGAAATGACAGAAAAATAATTCCCATTTGGGTTTTCTTGCCCTCCAAAAGCAAAGTCAACCTAATCAAGATCAAAGACAATTATATTTTATATATAATTAGGATTGCAATCCAGGAAAATGAAAATTCAAGCAATATTAAAAATGGGTTCTGAGATTCTATTTAATGGCAACTGTATGCATAGCTTTAAAACAAAGTAGGTGGGAAATCATCACTCCTTATCAGGAATTACGGTTTGGTGCTATTTTGTAAGTAAAAGACTGTGTGCAATCTCAGAACTCTCTGGGTAGTTTGTTGTACAGGGAAGGTCAGCAGAGGCTAACAAGGTTTCAGAGATTAATATGCAAGGGAGTGTGGGAGTGCACTTGCCCACAGCCCAGTTGAAAGGTTCAGCTGTAGGTAAGTCTGATAGAGATGAAAAATGACTTCTTGGGTCCATTTTAGTTTTTTGAACCAGTGCTACACAATGCAATTTTTGTTGATTTCCTTAATATTCCTTGAGTGTTTGAAAACATTTTTCAATTAACATTTATGAAAGCAAATGTAGATCATTTGATGTAAACATGTCCTTATGATAATGGTGTAAATGCATTCCTTTTACTTTCAAATATGATTTTATTTTATATTTCATTTCTTTATTCTATTTGTCCCCAAAGGCCAAGATTGGTTGATGCAGGCAGGCCTGATCTTTGGTGTGCTAATGAGAGAGGGGGGTCCACCATGGTCAACATTAGTCATGTGGCTTCTCCAAGGAGCCATTAGCAGCCTTGGCATCTTCAAATAGGTCCTTTCCTGTAGGTCACTATGTAGCCTTGCTGGTCTTTTTAGAATTTATGCTGAAAGCTAACAATGTGCTTTATCTGCAGGTTTCAATCCCATATCTTCGTAAGATATTTACATGCACAAATGAAAATATTCAGTGTCAGAATAAGTTAGCATTATATAAGGACATTTTCCATAAAAATCATGTCTCTCCTGTTTTGAATTTGAATTATTGTGATTTTTCATTTGCAAAGTGCTTTGCCAAGTTTCCTTTTAGAATTAACTCTAATTATTTTTTAATGAAGAGGAGTTGTTGATTTATATCTTCAAAATGTTCATTTATGTTGCTTTTGGCAAAGGATATAATTTCTGAATTAAAGAGGTATTACAACCTATTTCTTGGACAATATCAGATTACTTTGATAGGTTAAAACTAGTGTTCTTTGATATTGGGTTATTACAGGTAGAATGAAATGTCCTTCTTTAATGCCCTAATTTAATTAATGTCCTGCTTAATTCTGAAAGAAAACTGCCATGAGTTTGAACAGAACCATGAATCCATACCACTGGGATTCAGTTTCCCTCGAATACCTTCTAAATCTTTGTCACCGTGCTTCGGAATCTTCACTCCTCACTGAAAATCAAGAGAATATTTACATAGAGAAAACACAGTTCCTAGATATTAACAAATGACTGTCTATTGAATGTGGTGTTATATTCCTACTATAACCTCCAACTTCATTTGGGAGGGGGGTTATGGCCCCTGTGTGTGTGAGGATGCCTGTGGAGGTGAGAGGGGGACATTAGGTATCTACTCCATTATTCTCCAACTTATTCTCTTGAGACAGAGTCTCTCACTGAAACTGGAGCTAGGCTAGTCGTTGGCAAGCCCCAGTGATCCTCCTAGTTCTACCCCACATAGCACTGAGGTTACAGATATGATCCTCCATGACAGGGTGTAGGGGATTTGAACTCTGGTCCTCATTCCTATGCAGCAAGTGCTTTTACATGCAAAGCCACCTTCTTTATTAATCAACGATATACTATTTTACTTTCATTTAAAATAGAAACATATACCAAATATTTACTCAGCATCTAACAACACTGAACACTTAAGTTTATCATAACTTGATAATTTCTTCTCCCTTATTAATAAAAATAAATGTAATTTTAAAATATTTTTTCTTTTATCTAACCAAATATAATGCCATACAAATTAACAAAAATGTCAAATAATATATATCGTATGTCTATAATCCAGAGATGGAAGCCTTTTGGACAGTAATTGAAAATATTAAAAGGTTCACTGTATTTCTGATGGATGGTGTCCCCCTGCAGCCATCTATGAACAGTCTTGTGAAGCCCACAGGCACAGAGGGAGCCCTTCTGGACTCTACTACATTGACGCGGATGGAAGTGGCCCGCTGGCACCATTTCTTGTGTTCTGCAATATGTCAGGTATGTTAATAACCTTTAGATTAATTTAAGAGTTGTTTATACACAGGGACAGAGTAGACCCAGAAATCTACCTAGTTGATGTATTATTTAAAAGGCAGTTTGATAATTATGTCATATTAAGGAGAGATTATTTGCATATATATTTGTTAGTTTTGTTGTGAATAAAATGTTCTTGTCTCATTTATCAAGCAAAATTTAAAGCCATGCCAGGTCACCCATGGCTCTTTCACTTCTCATAATCCATCTGTTCACATACCTCAGAGTAAATATAAACCTTTGATTCAGAGATCTATATATTTTTACAATATGGAACAAAAATACAGAACTCCCAAAGTGCTAAAAATAGTATGTATGTGCTAGTTTTTATGTGTATCTTAGATAATTTAATGATCTGCATGGCACAAAATTTTTTCATCATCATGGAGATTTGATTATTTGATATTATAAGCCACTCCTGGTTTAGACATTAGTACAAATAAATACAGCTTGATTATGGAAGATTACATTAAAATTTCCCTTAGGTAATTAAATTTTTATAGAAATTTGTTTTTACCTGGCATTTCCAACTCTCTAGAAAGAGGAATTCTGAAATACATTAAGTTCTCATTTAATATGCTGAGAGAATGTTCTAAAGGTTCATAAAATTGAACAGTGACCAGATGGGTCAGCAAAGGCCAAAAAAGAAAAACAAATCAAAGTACAAAGAAATTTAAAATGCTTTAGTAAAAAGTGCCAAAGAATGTTAAAACAAAGGTAGTTTAGACAACCAAGATCCACCTGCTTAGCAGTGTGCTGAAGATAATGAAAGGGAAAGTTCCCGCCAGGAGATGTTAATTATCCAGCACTCCCTGATCAGACCATCCAACCAGAGCTAGGCAATGTGGTTGGCACCTGTCATGTAGCTTCTCCCAGAAGCCATTAGCACCCCATCTTCTTCAGATGGATTATTTCTGCAAAATAGGCCTAGTAAAAATCAAAGGATCACACAAAGTTCAAAACCAAGAAGAACTACTTGATGAGGAGGAAGCTAGAGGCTGCACTGGTTTTAGCCAATAAAATAGCAGCTAGTCATTCAGAACAATCAATAGCGATTTTCAAATGTCAATAACCAAAATACTGCTCTAGAAGCTTGAAGATGCAGATGTGTCAATAGTGTTTAAAACCTAGTGACTTCTATCTGGCATGCTAAGGAGCTTGCTAGTCATCACTTCGTCTGACCCAGTAAAAGGCTGGAACAATGTGGAAACTCAACAACCCTTCCTATATCCAGCCGAAGAGTGGAGTCCAAGAGCAAACTACTGACCCCCAGACTGGAGAGACAAGACAGGCAGATGCAGATATCCAGTGCTTAGCAGAACAGACTCTCAAGAACAGTGACCTTGGGGAGAAGCTCTAGGGTAGGAATATCAGAATGCAAGTGACACATTTCTGGAGACTCTGGGGGACAAATCTGAGGGTTAAGAACTCCAGCAGACCCTATCATGTGAACTTTCCCTCTTAGGAGCATGACCAGCTTCTCATAATGAATATTGGAGAAAACGCTCTTCCTGCTTCCAGAAAGGGAAGAGTGTGGAGAAACATGTTGAAATACCACAGGATATGCCATACCTCTTCACAAGGCTTTCTCTCAAAAGAAATAATTTACTAGAACCTAAGTCACATGGGATTTTTAAACAGAGCCTAACTACCTGGGAAAAGGGAAAGATCAAACTCTAGCTCCATCTAGTCATCCAGTCTCATCTAAGGCTGGTGAAGAGGGGAGTTGAGGAGGATTAACAAAGTCCACAGCCTAGGGAACAGGCTCACTTGGACACAGAATGCCTCCCTTTCCTCCACACCTTCCTTACACCACTGAAAATCTATTTACAGCTATTGTTTTGATCCAGTATAGCACATTCAAGACATCTAAAGAGAAAAATTAGAGTTTGAAAAGATAGAACAGATGTTAGAAACAGACTTGGGTATAGCAGGGATGTCAGGATTATCAGACTGGAAATTTTAAATCACCATAATTGATATGGGGAAAGTTCTAATAGATCAAGCACACAGTGTGGGAGAATAGAGACACAGTTTCAGCAGCAAGATGGGAATTCTAAGAAAGGAGCAAAGAGAATGCCAGAGACTAAAAGTACCTCTAGTAGGCTCATCAGGAGACGATACAGGACAGAGGAAGAAATCCCTAACCTCGGAGCTATCTTAATACAAACTTCCAAAGTTTAAAAGCAAAGAGAAGAAAAAGCTGGGAAGAAAGGAACAGAATATCTGAAAATTACAGTAAAACTACAAAAAATGTAATTTACATGCAGATGAGATATCAAGAGAGAAACAGAGCGGTTTTTGAGAAGTAATGTTTAAGATTTCCTGTAAGTTAATGTCAGGCATTGTATTAGTTACTGTTTTTCATTGCCACGACAGAATGCCTAACAGAAAAAAACTTAAAGGCAGAAGAATTTGTTTTCGTGAAGAGTTTCAGGGTACATCGGTCCATCACGGCAGGGAAGGCATGGCAGCTAAGCTGAGGGAGAACAGGGCAGAAACTTCTTATATCCTGGTGGATCAGGAGGCTAAAAGCTCACGTCAGGATTAGAAGCAGTTTTCAACTTCAGGACTCACCCCCAGTGACCCACTTCTGCTAGACAGACCACAGCTGAAATGGTCTCACAGCCTCCCCAAGCAGCCATCTCCTGGAGAGCAAGTATTTAAATACCTGAACCTGTGAAGGACAGTCCTCATTCAAATCACAGCAAGTATCAAGTGACAGATCAGGAAGCTCAAGGAACACTGAAACAGAACAATGTAACAAGGTAATCAATCAGCAACACAGAACCCTAGCCTGAACATATGTACTCAAGTTCTAGAAAATTGAAAGTTAAATAAATATGAAATAAGTCAAAAAACAAAGGTTTAAGTAGTATGTTTGATTTCTTACCAGAAACCATTCAAGGGAGAAGAGACTGGAATGTGATGTTTAAGAAGGTGAGAAAAGCAACAAACAAAAGAGCGAAGTAAAACAAAATCAAACCCCCACCAACTTCGAATTCTGCACCTTCTGAAATGATTAGAGTGAAGAGGAAATACTTTCTCAAACAAACAGGAGAATCCATTTGCCACATACACACAGTTCTTTAACATGTTTGCTTCTAAAAGCAGAGAACCACAGAGCTTTATTATTATTACTATCACCATCGTTATTATTATTATTATTATTATTATTATTACTTTTGGAGACAGGGTCTCACTATGTACCCCGGGAGGATGAAGGTGATTCCTCAGTAAAAGGTATTAACCTATTACATTATTACATTACTCTGATTTAAAAATTTTAAAGATATATAGCCATCTGAATTTTCCCAGTTTGGAAGATTCCTATGTACCTTTTCTTACATGTTTAAGGATGACACAGCATCAGTGTAGGTGGAATGCTCTCAAGACAGACATCTTCTTATCCATTGACTCAGACAAGCAGCTGGGTAGTCACGTGCACTACCAGGAGTGGAGTCCAGTAAAAGAATTTGAATGCATTCCTTCCCATGTGTGACTATGGAGATATTTAATTTGTTATTTATTCACCAAAACATCTCTAAATCAGTGCGACAGGAATACATTAGAAATTATGCCAGGAGGTGGAAAAGAAGGCCAGGATTACTCCCTGGAGTGGCTTTGTGAGATGTGGAGGGGGTGGTATGTGGATTATCTGCGCTTACTTACCGATTGAGAAGCAGATGTAATCCATTCTGTTTTAATCATCACTTCCTGTGGTATTCCATGACTACCGACGCTCACATCCTCCCAAGATGCATTTTCTCTAAATTATTTAATGAAATAGACACACAAATGAGAAAAGTACTGATTTTTTTTTTAAAGCTAAATGTTCATGCACAATCTGGTTTCATTCTTGGTTTGATATAAAAATAGTTTTAAGAACTAGAAAGCTATGCTTCTGTTGTACCTTTAGACATGACGTCATGGAAATTTACCATCAGCTCTTCCAATATTTTTTTTTTTACGGGGTATTTTTTGCTTACCGGCTGAGTTCTGGCTAGATATATTGCTATACAAATGCAACTCAGAAAGTAACTGCAAACTCACATGAACACACATGCCACTTTAGAAGTAGATTCATACCTCGTGCGAACCTGTGCAACCTAGTGATGCCTCCCCCTGCCTTGCTTCTGCTCAGCAGACATGGCATGGACCGTGGTGCAGCACAGTGGGCCCCATGCGGTGACAGTTCCAGGCAGCCCAGGAGGGCGCACGCACTCGGTGACCTTCTCTTATGCTGTGGGCTTGGCGCAGCTACGCGCTGCTGTGGACGTTGCTGAGCGCTGTGAGCAGCAGGTGGCTTTGCAATGCAGGCCCACGGGACCCACAGATGCAGGCGGTAAGGGTGATGGTGAAGGGGGAGGCGGGCAAAGGCACATCTCTGCACATTTCAGGAGGACCAGGTCAAAGTTATTTACAGAGAACTTATTCAGGCCTCTGGACAAGAGTAGTAAAGAACCCTCCTGACAAGTTGGCGAATATTCAGTGTGCATGTGTGCAACTAGCGGCAGGTACTCTTTTCTATTAATATAAGGAAAGTTTACTATTAACAATAACATTAACTTTCTGTTCACAATTAGGGGAAATCATGCTAACTATTGTGGGTGTGGCCTAACAGTTCTTCCTGGAGACTGGCTGGAGCCCATAATGCTTTTTACACTTCAAAGTCTACCTCTGAAATGCTTGTTCCCTGTACCAGTTTAGTTTTTGACCTTGATATTTTATTTGGGATGGGGAGACAGCTCAGTGGGTAAAAGTGCAAAGCATGATGACCTGCATTCGGATCCCTGGCACCCACATAAAAAGCCAGGCATGGAGACACTAGTAATCCCAGAGCCCTGGGAGGCAGAGACAGAAGGATCCTAAGGACTATGTGGCCAGCCAGTGTAACCAATCAGTGAGCTCTAGGTTCAAGGAGAGACAGTCTCAAAAAATAAAGTAGAAAGCCACTGAAGGAGTGAACCAGACATAGACCTCTGACCTCTACACATGTACACATGTGCATACAACACACACACACACAGTTGTCTATCTCGTTGATGCTGGAATGCCAGTGTTTGTTCCCCAGCCCCATATCTCCCATGCTGATCTAAGGTGAAATAATTACTGAAATTATTGCAGGTTTTTCTTTGGGCCTTCTTTTTCTCCCAAACTATTCCATTTAGTTTCTGAATCTTCACAGTGACAGAGCATAATTAAGAAGTTCAGCTCTCTGAGGATACAAGCAGGTGTTTCTCCTCCCTCCTTCCAGGAGCTCCTTCCATCTCTTTTGGAGCCCCCCACTGCTCCCAATGCTCCCTTCATCTCTTTTAAGGACCTTAAGTACTGAAATTGGTCTTTCATTTCATATGTTTGGCAATCAGGGGCTGGGGAAGTGGCTCCCTGGGGAAAGCGCTTGGTGCACAAGCATGAGGACCTGAGTTTGGATCCCCAGAACCCACCTTAAAGCCTGGCATGACAATGTGAACCTGTAACCTCTGCACTGAAGGGGGTGGAGAAATGCAGATCTGAAGGAATCACTGCCCAGCCAGTCTAGTTTAAACCTGAGCTCCATGTTTAGTGAGAGACACTGCCTCAAAAAACAAGGAAAAGTGGAGCACCACAGAGAAAGACACTTCCCATCAAACTCTGGCCTCCACACCACCAGCAGGGATGAATGTAACTGCATGCACACACAGACACACACAGACACACACAGACACACACAGACACACACACACACACACACACACACACCGCATACACCTATGCACATATTTTTTTAATTTAGCAATCTATTGCTAAATCTACTTAGAAATAGCATATATTAGAAGCTTCATTAAACCACTTTAAAATTTTCAAATGACACTCTTAAATTTCAAAGTATCAGTATATGACCTTCAGGTGCAAGTTTGCCATACTGAGTCACTGCACACACCTGTCCTGACTCTCCTAATTTATATTGACCTGTTGGAATATTCCAGACCATGTTTTTTCCCATGCTGGAAGTTTCCTCCACCTGGATGAGCCCCTCCTGCCTTTTCATCTAAATCTCACTGGTTGTACTAGGCCTACACCACCCTTCTCCCTCCCCCTCTTCCCTCTGTTTGCAGAGTCCCCAGCAGCCAGTTTGAACTACTAGAAAGAGAAAAGAGCTTTTCCATTTTATTTTCAAGTTCAAAGTTCAAATTCCAGGTCCATCCCTTAGCAGTTGCAGAAACTTTTAAGTAATTAGCTAATCTTTCTGAGTCTTTTTCACCTCTCCAGAGAAAGTGGGCCCTATACCATTGGTCTCACTGAAGTTCCCTGAATACACAAGATAAGGAAGCAAGTTGTGTTCATGAAGTAAGAAATGTTCACTCCTAGTTTACTGTTTTTAAAAATTGTGTAGTTGAGACTGGAGAGAGAACTCACTGGTTAAGAGCACTGACTGCTTTTGTAGAGTACCTGGGTTGATTACCAGCACCCACATGGTGGCTAACAACTGTCTGTAACTCTAGTTACAGGGGATGCGATGCCCTCTTCTTGACCTCTGCAGGTTTTGCACAACGCAGGTAGACAATACATGCAGGCAATACCCTCATACACACAAAAATAAAAATAATAAATAAAAATTTTAAAAATTGCATGGTTGGCATTTCAAAGTAGAATTACTTTAGTTTATCACTGTTGAATTTTTGTCCTCTAGTAGGAGTAGAACTATAGAACACAATGCCTTGAGTAGTTAACCAGGGAACACAAGGATAAGGGACAAAAGGCAGCAAGTTACATAGGCAGGCCCCTATAATGAAACCAGAAAACTACTCCATTCTGAGCTGTGAGCAAGCCCCACACATATGGACTCCCCCACAGCCTGCACACTATGCAGCTCAGCAAGGAACCTATGCTGCAGGGCTAGTGCTTAATTAATGCCTAAGAACTTGCTAGCTCTTGCCCTTTTGGCTTTACTTCTAGAAACAAGAATTATTCTAGAGCAACAAAAATGTTTTTCCTTTTAATTCAGAGAATGGATAATTGAAGATGAAGATAAGATAGACACACAAGCATCTCTCAACGCATGGCTACCACTGCAAAACCACCAATGGAGAAGTTTAAATAGAAGCTTAATTTAGGTGAACATTTAGAATAGTTCTGAGTTTGAATAGAGGTGAAATTAAAGGGTAATATGGTGTCCTAGTTTGTTCTTCATTACTGTGACAAAACACTCTGACTGCTACCAACTTGGGGAGGAAAGGGTTTATCTTACATCTCCCGAGTCACAGTTCATCAGGGAGCCCAAGGTAGGAACTCAGGGCAGAAACCTGGAGGCAGGAGCTGGAGCACAGGCCATGGAGGAATGCTGTTTACTGGCTTGCTCCCCTGGCCCCTACTCAGCCTGCTTTCTTATGCAACACAGGCACACCTGCCCAGGGGTGGCACCACCCACAGTGGGCTGGGCCCTCCTACATCACTCAACAATCAAGGTTCCCCATGGACATGGCTACAGGCCACTCCAATGAAGGCAATTCCCCGATTGAGGCTCCCTCAACCCAGGTGTGTCAAGTTGACGCTAAAGCTATCCAGCACATATGGTCTACATTTTCCTCATGCTAACAGCTCTGACCTACTTTGCCTTGCTAGTGGACACAGGTCCAGAGAAACTACACTCACACACTTGCAACACTATAAAATATCTCTTGATTCTAAAGTTGTACTGATGCCTGAGTTTTATATCTATAAATTATCATCTTAATCCATCTAAGGGGTAGCCTGGGCTTCAGAATCATCAGGTGACCTTATAGAAAACACTACTAGGGATTAAAATCACTAAGAAATGGCGATTTCAATCAATTGACAGTTTTCCTATTTTCTTTTGAGAAGAATAAACGTTTTTCTCTTATAATCTTCATAGGGTTTTTAAATTTTTATCATTAAGAAAATTTAAAGAATCTATAATCTTTTACACATGTGTCAGAAATAATGGAACCTAGATCCCTTTATATAGTTCACTCCAGTGGAAATGCCTCACAAAACTGCAGTACAGAAACTGACATAGATACAGTCAACCGATACACCATTTCTATGAATACAAGAATGACTCCTTTCACCCCTCAAATACCCCACCTCATTCCCCTTCCAGCTCCCTAGTGTGCAGGCCTGGATATCTAGCATTAAGCTCTTCTCTATCTTCGTGCTTTTTGCGATTGTTATTTTTTACATTGAAAGAATATTACACAAATGGAGTGATAGAGAGTGTGTAATGTTTTGGGGTTGACTTCTGTCCCCCAGCACATTCCCCTTCAAAGTTATTAGCACTGTTACATGTATCAATAATGTTTGTTTGCGTTGCTCAGTAGTAATCCATGGTGGGTGTACCAGTGATTGTTCATTCACTGGAAGAAGCTTGGCTTCTTTACAGATTTGATCCATTATGAATGTGTGAACAGCCGTTGTTCTTTCCCTGGGACATTGCCCAGGAATGCAATGACTGGGTTGTAGGGTTGACTGAATGATTAGTTTTATGTAAAAAACAAAACAAAAAAAAAAACAAAACAAAAAAAAAAACAAACAAAAACCAAAAAGAAACCCTCAAAAAACAAACAAACAGGGGCTAGAGAGATGTCTCAGCAGTTAAGAGTGCTTGGTGCACTTGCAGAGGACTTGGGTTCTAACCTTAGCACCCACATGATAGCTCACAACCACCTGTAACTCCAGTTTCAGGAAATCTGACACCCTATTTTGGCCTCTCATGATACCAGGAACTCACATGGTGAACACACCACACACATATGTAGGCACACACACATGCACAGAAAAATAAATCTTTGAAAAACAAACCCTTCCTAGCTGTTTCCTAGAGTGACTGTCCTATCTGACACTCCCACCAACAGTGGACAAGAACTTAGTTTCTTTCACCTTCTCGTTGTATTTTGTAGACAAAAGGATTTCATGAGGTCCAACTTATCATCCTCCTCCTAATTCCCTAACTTAAATTCAGCTTCATAATCCTAAATCCAAAGATCCTCTCTCTTTCTCTCTGTCTGTCTGTCTTTCCTCTCCTGCCCCCTCTCTTCCCCTGAAGTCTAAGATAGCCTCAAACTCACAACGATCCCCCTGCCTCTTCCTCTTGAGTGCTGACATTGTAAGCATGAGTCACTGGCCTTGAAGTGACTTCATTTTAACTCAGTTGTCTCTATTAAAACCATATTTCCAAAAGGGTCATGTTCTGAGGTACTAATGGTTAGGACTTTGAAATGACTTGCTGGGAGAACACAACTCAGTCCACAGCATGGACCTATTCAAATTATTTCTTCCTCCTTGAGTGAGTTTTGGTAAACTGTTTCTGTCAAGTGGATTCCTATGAATTAACAAAATTGAAATTGTACATAATATTTCTTCATTATTATTTGAATATCCATGTGATCAAACTAATGAACTCTCTTTCTTTCCAACTTTTCTTTCTTTCTCATGGTTACCCTGGCTAGACACTTACCAATTTTATTGAACTTCTTGAAGACCAGCTTTCTTTCACTGATTTTTTTCTAATAATTCCATTTAGCATTTTTCTACTTTCTATTATAACTTTTGCTTCTTTCATTTTCTTACTTTAGATTTAATTTGCTCTTTTTTCTAGTTCTTTCAGGTAGAAGTTTGAATAATCAATTTTAGATTTGTTTTTTCTTGTCTAAAATAGACATCTAGTGCTATAAACCCTAACCAGTGTTTGACTGTATGCCACAAATTTTGACAGGCCATTTTCATCTTCATTGGTCAAGAATGCATTTTCCCTTGAGATTTATTCTTTGACCATGTTTTACTTAGAAGTGTGCTGCTAAATGTCCAGCTATTTCTGGATTCCCAGCCGTCTTTCAGTTATTATGTTGGTGGCATTGCTTACCTGAGAGCATACTTCCTATGATTCTCTTCTTTTAAATTCAATGTTATTTTTCATCAATTTGAATGTGGTCTAACATAATTGTGTGTGTGCACTTGGGAAAGATGTGTGATCTGCAATTTTGGATTAAGTAGTCTATAAATGTCAATTAGATCCATTTGATGGATGGTGCTATTTAGATTAATAAATCCTTAATGACTTTCCACCTGCTGGATCTGTGTGTTTCACCGAGGAGTGTTAATGTCTCCAGTGGTCAGAGTGGCTTTGTCTCTACCTATTTGGAGTTCTATTAGTTTTTGCCTCATGTGTTCTGATTCTCTGTTGTGAGGCATATTCACATTAAATATTGTAATGTCTCCTTAGAGAATAAACCCTCTTTATTTCTGATGATTTTTCTTGCTCTGAATTTGTCTTTGAAATTAATACTGCTCCTATAGCTTGTGTGTGTGTGCGTGTGTGTGTGTGTGTGTGGTGCATGTGCACATGTCGGGGGGCGTTCATATCTCTACTTGTGCATGTGGAGGTCAGAGGTTAATGTTGGGTGTCTTCCTCAACTCCTCTCCATTTTATTTTTTGAGACTGGCTCATCCAGTGAATCTTGAGTTCACCAGTTAGCTAGGCTGGTTGGCCAGTGGGCTCCAGGGAGCTGCCCATCTCCACATTCCTCACTGCTGGGCTTGCAGATGCACATAATCACATCTAACTTTTGTACAAGTCTTAGAGTCTGAACTCAAGTCCTCGTGCTGTGTCCAAGCACTTTACTAGCTGAATCATCTCCCAAGACCTCTAGCATTACTAATGTTAGGTTGGTACAGATCTCCCCATCTCTTCACTTCTAATGCTCATGTTTACTTTTAAAAGGAATTTTGGCAGACAGCATATAATTATATCTTGGTTTATGGCCACTTTGACAGTCTGTCTTTTAATTGGCACATTAGGCACACACAATTAAATGATTGTTGATGCTTTAGTTAATATTTTCTGTACTACAACTTTTCTGTATTTGTTGCTGTATTAAAAAGTCCATTTTCATCACTATACCAAGGTGGTACACTGTAAGGCTTGGGTACTGTAAGGAAAAAGGGTTTATATAACTCACAGCTTCGGATGTTCAAGGGTATGATACCAGCATACACTCAGCTCTGATGAGGTTCCTTTTGACTGTTTCATACCAAGACAGACTGTGTTATGATGGGAGTGTATATAGAAGGGAAAGGGGCACAAGAGCTCACATTACCAAACAGGACTCAGGAGAGAGATTCAGGAGTTAGTATTGCTCTTACAGCAGCTTGCTTACGTGAGAATTAGCCTAAGGTTCTCCCACTAGGCCCCACTTTTTCAAGGTCATACAAGCTCTCACATGGCCACACTGGGTGCTCAGTACCCAGCATCCCTCACATGAATCTTAGGAAGCAAACCATAATCAAACTTTACCAGTTGTCCTTGGTTTGTTGTTTTGCTTGTTTTTAAGAAAGGGTCTCATGTAGCCAAGACTGGTCTTGAACTCCTGATACTTCTGCATCTACATTCCAAGTGTGAGGCTGTGCTGTCATCCCTGGCTATCTGTGGTTTTGCCTTTTCCTTCCCCTCTTATTTGAATTCCTTTCTCTTTTGACTCATTTTAAATGATCATTTTATATTTTTCACTTCTTCTCTTCTAGCAAACATTTCTTTTGAATTTTGAAATTTCCTTTGAATATGAATTAAACCTTATAACTA